CTATTGCAAATGCGATGTAAATTGAGTCAATAACGAAAAAAAATAAATAAAAATGCGGAATACATGAACATTTTTTTTATTCTTCATTAAAAGAAATAACTTTTTGTCTTGAAAAGTAACAAAAAAATTACATTATTGACATGGCTGTAAACACTAATTGTGAATATGATATTTTTAATGACAACATTATTCCTTACTTCATGGATCAATAAGACGAGCATTATATGTATTTATTCTGGCTACCCTCTCTTCTTCCCAGACCTTAGAATTTTTAAAAACTATTCCAAGAGCAGCCAGGAATGGAGTTCGATCGCACTTCACAAGCATCTAAAAAAGTCCAAACTTATCGCTTTATCCTCAAGTTTAGCTTTTTCAAAACCCTGTACCTAGTTTTTGCTAGAAGTACTAGATCTACCGTTTACCCCCTGACGCTGCCACACGTGGCTCACTTTCGGTTGTCTAACAGGGAGCCTCCCAAACTCGTTCAGTAGCCACCTTAGATTTGTGATTGGGTAGCTCTGCGAGAGTCAAAATCAAAAAAAGACTTTTGAGACTTGATTTGGTTATAGTGAACCACGTGTGCCTGTATATAACATCAAGTAAAAATTAAAAAATTCTTATGACATATGTTAATCTGCTATGTGCAGGCAAGATATTGCAATTCGCATTTAACTCTTTAGGAAGATAAATCTAGGGCTTTTCTAAAAAGTAGAATCATAGTTTTAGTTTTTCATTCGCCATTTTTTAATGTATTAACCTTAAAATGTAATAAAAAGTATGCCCTTATCACTAAAAAAATTTACCATGATAATTTTGCCCTATTAAAAACTTTTGAAACGTACACTATCTGTAAAGGCTGGGTCTATTCGCACCAAATTTACGTAAACACGTGGGTATTATATAGTGCAGATAACATCTGGAGTGGTGTGTGGATAGTATCATTATTACTTACGTGGATATTACAAGCCCTACATCCACGTAAACGTGGATATAGCTCTACTTATATTCACGTATTCACGTGGAATTTGGTGCGAATGGACACAGGAATTTCGTCCTATAACATTAAAACTCTGAATTATTCAACAAATAATTTTTGGGTAGCAATGAGCTTTAGAATACGTGAAATTATTAGCCATGGAAAACATTACTTTACCAAGAAAGATACGACGTAGAAGTTAAATAAGTTACATTGTAATTTCCGAACGAAGAAAAAAAACGAAAGTCTTTGAGTTCGTAAATAATCTCATACACGAAGTACATTACCTTAAAAATATCATCAGAAAAAGTGAAATTAAGGGGACTATATACCTACGGTTATTGCTAGTATAAGATAATGACCGAGAAATAGGTGTAACCAGATTATAAATTAGAGAGGAAGAAAGAGATAGGGAAACTGAGTGAAATAGATTTGTAGGAGTTTGATTCTTAAGTTAGCCTGGGAATAAGAAGGAGAAAAAGAGGATGAAACAACGAGGAGTTAGTACCAAACGGAAGGAGAGAGATAATACGAAAAAAAAAGAATTTAGTTCACGAGTCCAGACTCTTTACATGAAGACATCCACAGAGTTAGCCTAGTATTTTACATCCCCATTAGATGTAAAAAAAAAAAAAAAAAAAAAATGAAATACCAAGTAATTTACCGTGAACTTAACCAGTAGTGCAAAACTCTTTAACTATGAAATTCGTGCGAGTGTGGGGAGCTCTCTTTTTTCTCGCTCAACATTTCTCTGCTTGGCTCGTCGTCATCATCGTCGAGAGCTCAGACCCCGAAACCAAACAGGTTTCCGGAGAGATCGCGCCCCCATCTCCTTTTCTCTTGCTTGTTCGTTCACTTTTCAACGTACCCACACATTTATACTCATAAGTTTCCCTCTCTCTCTCTCTCTCTCTCTCTCTCTTTCTGCCTTTTCTCGTCTTTCTCGGCTCTTACACGTACGGCCTCGAGCTACAACCACTAGGACTGTCCGGGTGTGAATGCATACATGAAACGAAAAGAGTCACAGAAAGCATACCAGAGTAAGGTTTGAAAAGTTGCTGTATTATTGTTTATCATCCAACAACTGAATAAATGTCCGGTGAATGTGGAACTTATTGGTCTAGAAGAAGAAAAAATAGAAAGAATGATTTTTTGGAGATGGAAACCCACTAGACAAAGTATATTTATGCGAGAAAATAGAACTGCGTCAAGGGAACTCTAGTCACACTGTTTGTGATGTATTTTGCCATAAAATATCTCGATCTTTACCAGGGGACATAACGTAGGTACATATAACACGTTGTCTCAGTATTATGCATGGCAGAGCAAAAAAAAATAGGTGATCTTATAAAGTAATGCATAAAATTTTGGAGCTACTGTCTCTATAACAGTACGTCAAGGAAGCACCATTTTGTATAAAGAAACATAATTGATTTTATATTCCGTATTTTACTGGGATTCTGAATTATCACTACTCTAATATTTGGTTGTAATCATCATTAAATTTAGTCATACATGAATTATTATTTAATTACATTTAAACTTAGTGGAGTTTTGATGAACTAAAAGCTAAAATTATTATTATTCTTATGAAAATCAGTATCAAGTGAGCTAAAAAATATTTTTGATGAAAATAAACATTTTTGAACGATGACACATTACTCTTAAATCTTGCCCGTTTCATTTGAAGAAATGTTTTTAAAGTATGCACGTGTTTTCTTGATTGATTGCTGATAGAAAAAGTTGATAATTTAGTTGATCATCATATTTATTTAATGAAGTAACTATGGTGGTTATATAACCAAACGAAAATTGATAATGTGATTATTTTTGTCTATCTCCCTATTCATCAAACTGCAGTAATTTAGTTTAACTGTTGCTCTGCTACTTATTTTCCTGCCTCTACACTATTGTGGTATATGTACATAGTACAGTAAAAAATTTCTAATAACATTTAAATTATAACAGTAAATCTGAAGTAGAGTTAAATTCATAAAGGACATGAGTAAGAGTTTAAGATATTTATGTGTTACTATTGAATAAGCACAGAAAAGACGGCAATAAACGATTTGATGTGTAATTAATAGGCATGAGCTTGCACTCGTAATTCAGATTATTTAGCCTATCGTCTACTAATTTTAAATCCACACGCTTCTCACATTTCATAACTTAATTTTATTTGCATTTTAAAAATGTAAACATTAAAAAATATTTAATTTTTGAAGTTTCATATTATGTTGTAAAATGTTTGATACGAGATTTATAAAAATGCAAGTCAAAATAGCACTTAAACAAATTTAGAAATATACTCCTTGAACGAAACAGAAAACGTAGTTGATAAAAGAAACACTGGGAGCATTTTTCATAATAAAATTATTCAAATAAAGTTTGAGCGTGGGTTTTATTTAATACAATAAGTCTTCATATCTCTCCATTGAATATTTGACAGCTTTTTTCATAAATTTCATCCAAAGTGGTTTATTAAACTAACCTATATCAAACAATTTTGTAAGAAAAATTAATGGAAGTAAGATGAAACGAGCTTTTTCTACATAACTTGAACGTCAATGTTTTAAAACTAGTGCACTGAAGCTTTTTCCTTTACTTTTTCTACGAGATTGCACACTGTTTGTAGTTTATTTTGCAACATAAGCATCTGATACCTTCGTAAGCATATGTACAGCGCAAGTGAGTACACTCTTTTTTGCATGTATGATTGATATTTATATAACGTTATTTACGCGTAGACTTCAAAGTGCTTGTACGAAAGAAAATATGGACGTAAACATTATATAAGAATAAAGTATGTAAGTATACAAGATTAGTATGTAATACAAGTTTCACAATATAGTGAATACAGAAAATAGGTTAGTTAAAATTTATACCGTTTTTTGAAATTAAAAACTGGTTGCATTTTTGTTACTTAATTGCATATACTTTTTTACTTTACATCCATTATTTAGTAAGTGTAAAAAATTCTTAAGGTCATTATTTGATTATTTATTTGTTACTAACTAATTACAATTGCAATTATTCAATAGATTTTATTTAATTTTATGTTATGGTTTAACTCAGTTTGAATTCAACGAAACTAATAGTATTTAATGATATACATGTGTAATAACTTTATATAACTGTCTGTTAGCCATATAAATCGGTATGAAATACATTTTCAGTATGACACTTTTTTGGCTAGATATTTTTTAAAAACCTGGACTAGTGAATAAAAAACACGATAAAGTACATAAAATTATCTTTTCACTAATTGTTTTACCTAACTATATAACAAATAATTGTTTTGAGACAGTAATATTTAACAATAGCAGAGACGAATTGGTAATTAAAAAGCGATTTGTATCAAGTTGTGAAGCTACAGGATCGTTTTAAAGAAGTTTCAGCAGTTCTAATACTATACCATCCAGCAGTAACTTTTCCTATGTTCTTTTTACTCTAAACTAAATTTTTAGTTACTGAATATCTAAATGTTATATGCTGAGCTATATCATTCCAAACGTATTAAATTTTCCATAAGTTTATTCTATATTTTTAATATAATACACTTCATTCGTTTTTCCAAAATATTTTCAAAAAGTACTAAAGTTAAACTTAAAGTTTTCTCCAGTACTGTATTATTTAACAACAATGGTTTATTACGCACAAAAATAACTAAACTCTCTTTTGTACACCGTTCGGTGATATATTACTTTAGCACATCCTCAACTTTAGATTTAGGGTCAACAAACTCAAGCCACCTTTCAAATGAACCGAATCTATTAACAAATCGCATTCTTCATTATGATTTTCACTCTAAGTTTCTGTACTATTGTAAAAACTTGCGGGAGGAAACCAGACACATCGTTGCATCCCATATGTCGGGCGCGACAGGACAAAAAGCTACATCCGCTACAGTCGGGGGTGAGGGGTGGAGGCAAATGACCCTCAGACGACCCTCATCCCCACTCCCCGAAAAAATGTAAGTACCATTACAGTAGCTCGATACAAAAAATCATGTAAAGTCACTCACGGCATCTTGTCAACGTGCAGGATGTCAAGCGCCTCACTCGACGCTGCTGCAGTGCCTGTTATACGGGGCCGGCGCCGCCTTCCTCGCGCCGGCGTCGTCCTCCCAAGCTCTTCGTCCTGCTACCTCGGCTTCTCGGTAAATTTTCTTCTTTTTTGATACTGTACTACAACTTCTCCTCGAACAGCCGCATCCAGCCTCGCTCATGTCATGGTTGTTCTCGGCACTCTTGCTTATTTCACACCAGCTTAACAGCTCGGCGTGATTTGTTTGCACCTAATGGCCGTGTATTATGTAATATACAACGAACCTTCGATATTGCCGTTGTTTATGTGTAATTTGAGATAAGTGATTTTTAAGAAATTTTCAGGGAATGACGGTAATAGTAATTAACACCACAACAGATGCGAGAGGGTGAAAGAAAGAAGGGCGGTGGTGGAGGGTAGAGCACCGCCCTACAACTCGACACTGCTCCGATATTTGTGTATGTATACAAGATGCACAAAACTTTGCTGATTTTTATATATTATATTCACGGATCTTATGAGAACTAGGAGAGAGACATGTATCACTATGTATAGACACTGTAATAACGTGCACACGTTTTTTTTTTTTTTTTTTTTTTTTTTTTTTTTTTATTTACACTGCGAATAAAGCACCCACACTTCAACAGATGGACGACAATTATCATACATATATTATTGAACGTGCACTTTTGCACGAGGACAACAACATAGTAGCACTTATACAATGGATCAACAAATCAAGAGCTGATCTGCCGCGCACCTACATGTTACGTATGTATCATCAGCGGCTGTCTCTGTTCTTCTCGGTAATGATACTGACGATGGAATCACGTATACGTGACACAAACTTATACACTGGATTCGCAGCACTACTTTATATACGTACACGCGCACCTACACAATACACATATGCGAAGCAAATAAACACAAGGAACACTGTCACGCGCTATGAACAAACGATGTGAGTGTTGTTGGTTTCTTTTCTTTTTTTCTTGTGGACAAACAAATCCTGAAAATTCATACAGCGAGCAAAGAAGTTTTTAGTACACACCCACGGAAGCCAAAGATATATAGAGAGCACAGAGCAGCACAGAGAGAGAAGCGGTGTCCCCCTTCGTCGCTGTTTGCGTTCGTATATGATTACGAGGACGACAGACGACGACGCTCTGAGCTTAAAGCTTTAGAGAGAAAGAGAGACACAGCTATAACATGCACGACAGAGAGTATACACGCGTGTTTTTAGCTGCAGCCGACTCGGAGGACTGAGCCGACTAAGCGCTCTAGATGAACAGTATCGTGCCCCCACGAGCGGTCTAGTGCTGCCAACCTTCGCCCACGTTTGACTCAAAATGGAACTATGCCGTACAGAGAGAGAATCGTGAGGTGGGTGCAGATGGGTTTTGAAGGGGGGAGGATACTAACCATTGGGGAGAATTCGCTTCGAGGGAGGTTTTTGGAATGGAGGGTGGAGGTGATTACTTTTTTTTTTATTCTGTTATGCAGGGGTGAGTCGTTGGAGGGTGCCAGGGGTAGATGAACTTTCAATACTGTTCTATACGACCGATACTTACCTCACACGGTTGTGCAGCTGCAGATTTTTGGATCCGTAATCTGTCTATGTTAAAGTGCACATGGTAATTGACACTTTGTGCCCTCGGTAAGAAGAACATTATACGCGACTCGGGCACCAACATACAACAACCGCGCCTTTCGGGCGCTCATGTTTCTAACGCAACGTACCATTAAAATTTCTAACTGTTTGTAATTCTTAATTATTATTTAACGTTACGAAATTTCATAAATATAAATTAACGTCCTTGTGATCCTTTCATTAACTCCTAGTTAAGGAGGCTTTGAATTGGTAAAAAATTTACTGTAAGCCACGTACCGGTACGTATTCATCGAACGATTGCATTTAATGAAAGTTATGGTAATCAATGCCTAGTATATTATAAACGTTGGGCAGAAATAGGCCTTTTCCTGGCGCTCGATCCAAATGGGTCCTTTCTTATGGCAAATCCAAAATGGGACCTTTCTTAGAGCAAATCCGAAATCAGATCTTTCTCAAAGTAAATCTGAAATAAAAAAGTCTTCTTCCTAAGTGACGAAATGTTAGACTGATTGTCGTAAGGACAGGCTGATATTATTATGGCACTTTTAGTACATAAGAAGACGAGTGAGAGAGAAAAAAGAGTAAGGAAAAAATATAGCGCGGAATCAAGCCTACACATGATCCACTGCTCTCAATCACCTCAACACGCTTCTGTTGGATCTCCAGTCTCCATAGTGACGACGTCCGAGTCAGCAAGAAACTTCAGCACTGGCACTGGCAGAGATCACTAGAGAGGTTATCATAAGAAACAAGAGAGACAAGTCATGGTAAGGGTTGAGACGGGCATCAGAGTGTGGTAAGACAGTTCGCGAAAAAAGTAGTGAAAGAAAAAGAATTTGTAGAAAGTTAAAGCGTAGGGAGATGGCTTAGTTATCGAGCTTTGTTCCAATTGTCAAGGATTTCAGTTATCATCAGATAATTAATAGAAAGCGAATTATAAGCAAATTTTGGTCAAAGTACCCAACGACTCGATTTTCTTGTAAACATAGGGTAGATGTAGGTATTACTGGCGCTACTTCAATTATTGGTAAATCCAAAATAACCTCTTGATATTAGTTACACCACATTGTTTATAAATGGACAAACCCAAAAACTAATCAACCATAAAAATCTCTTGCTGATTATCTCCATTGGTCTTCTGAAGATGCATTAAAATCAAGCAACGGATGTAAAATTAAGGTTAAAACTTCATCAGTCATTTCACGTCCTTTGTGGCAAAAAATTAATAAATAAAACTAGAAGAAAAAATTTAAGAAATAGAAGCAAAAAAACAACTAAGGGAAAAAAACAAAATAAAACTCGCATACAAAAGAAAAATGATAAATTGCAAAAGCAACAATAAGCTTATCTCAAAGAGCAAGAAAAAATTGAAAAGCAAAAAGCAAAACTTATTCAAAAAAATGTACGTGAAAATGAACAAAAAAATAAGTTAAAAGAGGAAGCTTTACTAAAAATATTTAAAAAAAAGATTTGCAAACTAAGATTGCTATTTTCCAAGCTGGATTAGAAAAAAGTGTTTTTTCTTCCTTATTATGAATTTAATCAGAATATTTGAGGACTTGTGATTACATGTGATTTGTTAGATGAAATAAGATTTGACAGTATTCGGGAGCCAGTACTTAATTGAAACGTGCCCGTGATTGGTGGCCAGTACTTGAAGCGTGCTACCAGTATTAGATGCGTACTGTCTATCAATAAAAATATTTATTTTAAATAGAATTATAATGTATATAATCAATCCAAAGATTAATAATTGTCCGTTAATCAATTAAGTTAAAAATAAAAAAATTGGGAAAATTGTGTGGATTCATTCGTTTTTCTTTTTTTAATGACATATTAAAGTGAACTGAAAAAAAATGGTAGTAATACCCACATCTACGCTATGCTTGATAATTAAACTAATTTTCTTTATATAATTAGTACTCAGACTCTCGTAAAATTTTTTTTGATAGAAGATTTATCTAACTTCGAAATAAAGCAATATTGTGTCATTATTTATTAGTTTATTATCTATTATTAAAAATTAAAAAATACTTTAAAAACCGCTTTTCCCTGGGAGAGAGAGGCTAAAGTAGGCAATCGGTTAGAGCAAATCGAATAGACACTTCAATAAAAGGAAATATGTTGTGTAATTATTAAAGTGATAATTGTAGTCAAATTAATTCAGTCTTTAACAACTTAAAGTACTTAGATGACTATTGAATTGGTAACTTGAAAACTTGAAAATAGTAAAAGATATTTTTTATAATTAAAGAAAATGTCTGATTCGTGACGTAAATCACTCCGTTACCCATTTATACCCGCTTTAGAGAGAAAGAGAGACACAGCTATAACATGCACGACAGAGAGTATACACGCGTGTTTTTAGCTGCAGCCGACTCGGAGGACTGAGCCGACTAAGCGCTCTAGATGAACAGTATCGTGCCCCCACGAGCGGTCTAGTGCTGCCAACCTTCGCCCACGTTTGACTCAAAATNTTATACCCATTTATATTTACTCGCCATCTAAAAGAAATTCAAAATAATAAGTAAAAAATATTAGAACAAATCAGGTACTTGCTCAGAAACTTACTTCGTCCTACCTGCTTTGCCCAAGCATACATGTTTTATTTAAGTAATGCTTTTTACAAAAACTTTAAAATAAAACGCCAATATTTTTGGCTTAATTTTAACTTCAAGAGGCTCAAATTAATAGAAAATTATCAATAAAATAATAAGTGTTATCGGTTTGAACAGAGCACAAAGTGCATAACATTAATTTTTTTAACAAATTGTTAATTTTTCAAAAACTACGTGTAATTACGCCATACCACTGCGTTACCTAAAGTATATCAAAAAAACTAATTTTTCGACTCGCTGAAATATCTTTTTCTATTTGAAAGCATCAAACAACTCTTTTAAAAAATATATAAAATTATGGAGGACATGAAAGTTTGTAATTTATTAAGATCTAAAACTTTACTATCACAACTGTATGGAATAATATGAATTGTGTAATATTTCAATGTGACCTACATTTTTTTTCTAGTATACGCAAACTTTCAATAATCAACAAAAACTAAAAGATATCGCAAAAAATAGTAGTTTTCGTACCTGGTGGCTCATGTTTGCGAGGCAAGCACCAGACCTTGTGCTTGCCCTGGTTAGATGCGCATCTAGTATAAATTCTATTTTTCCTATTGAGAGTGCAGTAAACGTCCAAAGATTAAAAAAACGGTCAAAGTAGAAAATGGCACATTGAGAGAAAAAAATCATAAAAACTATTGAGAAGTTGTAGTTTTTCTTCTGATCAGTCTGGTGTTATACTAACAAACCAGATAAGATCACCTGAAGGTATCCAGGCAGTCATGTTTGCTGAAAACTTTAGCTAAGAAAGATTTCCGCTCACCGGTCCTTTTCAGGGCAATCAGACGTCGAACTACCTTGCCAACAAATATATTAGAACTAACAAAGTTGACAAAAAACAGCCTTTAGGGCTCACAAAAGGTTTAACTATGCCTATAGTCGCAAGAGATCGAATGGAAACGAAAACTTCAAATGCTTCAAATGTATACAATTTTAGGCGTCAAGAAACTGACGCAGAACATTTATCGAGATTGAAACAGCAGCTTCAAAACTGACCACTAACGAATCCATTAAGTGAGAAATTAGCTTTCTATTATAACTCTGACAGTAATCACTTAAATCTCCCAGCTTTTGAAATAGGTAAAATAATATGCATTTGTATTCATTGTGGAGATAAAAAATAGAAAGATTAAGCTCCAGGACTTTATTGCTCTAGTAACAAAGTTTTGAAAAATTAATTCTTAATTAAATACTTACAGTTTTAACAAATAGCCTTTTTCATTAATTATAACTTGAGGAAGTGCAAATCAACGGCTCTTTAGGACCAACAACTATTTTATGGTGTTAAGAACGCACGGTACTATTCAGCATCATTATATTTTTTTTATTTTACACAGCTTATTATTTGACCAAATAAACTGCATGGATTCTGGATTAAAATGTTTTTAATCAGAAGTTTTTTGTTTTGAGAAGTGTCAAGAATATATATGACATTTTTAACTAAAAACGTTTTACATCATGTGTCAACACACTACGGTGTTCCATTCAGTGAGTCTCAGGCGAAGCCTATTTTTGAAAAAAAAACATTTTTTAGACGCATTTTAAATTATTTTTTAGGTTAGGCCATTCGTTACACAGGAAATTTTGAATTTAATTTACAAAAGCAAGCAATGTTACTTACCTTCTGGTAAATCGTTTCATTGTACAAATATTGCAAGGATTAAACAATTATTAAAAAATTAACATTCTTTATACTACATTAACTAAAATATTCAATGCAGATTGAGAAGACAGAAATAAGTTAACCACATTTCATCTTCATTCACCTGATAAACTTTTACTTTTTCAAAATTGGCATACCATATATACAAAATCAATTTGAGAAAATTTTAACTGTTTAAAAACCCTACAATATTTATTTTCACCCAACAAAAAATGAAAAATTAAATTTTACAGTTCATCTAGGTATATACAAAATCGAAAAATGAAATGAAACAAATGTCATGCATAAATTCAAATGTAAAAACTGCCTAGCATAATATGTTGGTAAAA